AGTTCACGCATTTTGTGACATCTTTGCGGGCAATGTCTATATCCACATCCAGTGCGTCTTGGAGTTTCGGGCTCTCTTCCCCAAAAACATGAGGCGCACTGGATATGAATTAAAATCTGGCCCCAGAAAGCTAGATTTTATCCATATCCAGTGCGCCTCGGCCTTGCGGCGCCCCTCCCAAGAAAGTCCAAGACGCACTGGATGTGGATATAAGTCTTGCCCGCAATCTTGGGCTGGGCATCGGGCCGGAATTAGTTGGCCCAGTGAACAGCCTGGCCACAATATCCGCGCCTCCATGAATGGATCATAATTCGAACTGTTGCCTAAGCAGCGCCCCGGCCGAACAATGGCGCGGTCAGGTATTTCAGGAAATGACCTTACTGGTGATGCTCACAAGTGCATTCCCACTGATTGCAATACCCCGACTGTCCAGGAATTCATCTCACAAGGTGTGCTCGAAAAGAGTCCGTTGAGTGCCTGGTGGATGGATTCGACAAAGTTCAAGATCACATCAACATGGACCCCCGTCCCTGGCGCGCTCCGCGCGCCAGGGGCGGGAGGTCTCCCGTAAAGATCTCTGTAGTTGCCCTTCTCTCTGTACATATGCAGATTTCCCCACCAACGCTACATCTCAGTACGTACCCCATCTATCTATCATTAGGCTTACCGCCATACATATACATGTGTATATATTTGTGCATATACATCAAGAGAGTTGCATATTGCTGACATTAGTCGTACTGTCTCTCTCCCTTTCTCTCTCTCTCTCTCTCTTTGCTTCTCTCTCTCTCATTCTCTGTACTTCTTACTTTGGACTTTCCAACATGTCATGCGGACCGTGATCGTAAGGATCCGTGCACTTGGCCGCAACCAAGAAATCTAGCACCCGGGGTCCTTAAAAACGCGGGGAACTGTAGACCCAGAACTGGGAACCCGGGAATCCAGCCGCGCCCATCGAAATCGGCCAGGACCCAGCAAATCGGGAAACGGTAGCCAAGGACCCGGAAACCTGGCCGCCTACCGAAATCGGCCGGACACGTTTACATACTCTATCGTCGTATCCGCCAGGACCCATTCAATGCAAGCGCTGATTGGGGAGTAAAGTAGACGCATCATGTTTCGGTTAGAGGCTCGCATGTCTTAGTGTAGTGTGCATATATATATATATGTGTAAAGATAGATGCGTGTGGCTCCCACGGTATGCTGGGACGTCTCCTTCATTTTCTTTCGGAGGCGCCATCAGTGAAGAGAGTGACCCCCCCGAAAGCTCCTGTTCCTCTTCGTCATCTCTCCCTCAGGGAGTCTTCTTCAATCCCATATTTCCCTCTTGCTTATTATTCTCATTCTCGCGGATGTGCTCTGCGTATTCTTCGCGCCCATTGTCAGTTCCACACGTATCGCCATGACAATTTGGCATTCAGGAGCTATGTGGTTCTGTTCTCAAGGAGGACGCCACCAACTCCAAGGCCCTCGGACGGGTGGTCATATGCTTGCGCCGTAGGTCTTGGCAGGGTGTTGACCATGTTGCGCTTACTCGATTGCCCACTCCTGTCGCGGTCACGCTCGCTGCCATGACTTCTTCCGAAGGAACCTTGCACGCTTCGTCGGACGAGCAGATGGGGTGGCATGTATTGTTCAGACCTCGTGCCTTTCTGTCACTCTTCGGCGATCTTCGCATGCGAAGCGCCGGAAGGGGGGGCCCTACAACAGTTGATCCCCGCTAAACGCCGTCACGACCCACACCTGGCCCACGAACGGCCCACCGTCGACCTGGCCACCTCGCTGCCCCGCAGTTGCTTAGGAGTCTCCCGGGCTCCCCGTCGGAGGCTCCCAGATGCGGAGGTCCTGAAAAATCCGTGTGGTAACGGACAGCGCGGCGACTCCGAAATCCCAAGGGACCTCACTGCGCGGTCTGCCACCGCATGGTCCTGGGACCTCGAGACCTCTTCGGAGAGCGACCCGAGTCCCAAAGCCGCGCGGAGACCCCGAGCCCCCAGGAGTTCACCACGCGGTGTGGTCACGTCACCACTTGGGGGGCCCCCTGACAGAGCCCTCTGTGCATCTCCAACCGCAAGAAGAAGCCCGGCAGCGCGGCCTTGCAACCCTCGATGGGGAGGGAGGGAGGGAGGGAGGGAGGGAGGGAGGGAGGGAGAGAGAAAGAGAGAGAGAGAGAGAACAAGACAAGACTAGAAACATATAAAGAAATGAAGAGAGAGGGCGAGAGAAGAAGAGAGGGGAGGGAGGGAGAAAGAGAGAGAGGAGAAAGAGAGGGAGGGAGGGAGGAAGAGTGGCTGGGAGCGGAGGGGTGGGGGGTGGGGCCGGCGCGGGGCACGGCGGCGAGGCGGAGGAGCGGGCGTCGAGGCCTCCCGGAGGGGGGCCGGAGCAGAGGGTGTCGGAGGACGGCGCCGCAGCGCCGACGCATCGGCGATGCGGCTCGATGCGGAGCCCGAGCTGCTCCGCGGGGACGTCAGCGCTGCGTCGCCGACGTCGCCGAGGCAGCGACGGTGTCGGCGATGCAGCGGGGCTCTCTCGTTCCGGCACCAGCTGGGAGGCCTCTGGGGAGACGGGGCCCGCTCGTCCTCCGCAGACCCCGCGGTCGCGCCGTGAGGGCATGCAAAGGATGCTGGAAGGTCTGTGGGGACACTGGGACTCTGAGTATCTCGGATGCCAGGTTGTTTGCGATGTGGGGAACTGGGGAAGTCAGAGATCCGACGCCTTGATTGTTTCTATGTGCGGTCCCTGGAAGTCCTGACAGGGCCTGCTTTTTAAGTTCCCCAGTGGCCGAAAACGGCGCAAAATAATTCCGATTTGTTTTTATTTTGAAGTCGCTGGAGGTCTGGGATTATCTGTGGTTTTTGGGCCTCTGCAGAAATGGTAGTCTTGCCCAGTCCTCTGGAAACGGCCGTCTGGGATGATCCCGGCAGTCCCGAAACGCTTTCGGCGAGGCGCAACTGGCGAGAAGCATGCCGAGCTTAGTTGCCCTGACACGCCCGTGTTGAAACGCAACACGTGCCGCGGTAGAAACGTCTGGGTTAAACTCGTTGCGTGGTGGCTCCGTATACTTTTGCCCACGCTTCGGTGACCGTCTCGCGCCATACCTGAAGAAGCACACTGCTTCAACACCCGTGCCGAGCTCCGTGCCGTCGCGCTGCGGGTGGCGCGAGATCCCGAGGCCGGGAGCCGACGGGAGCCTCCGGAAACCCTCGCGCGGGCGCTCCTCCGTCCTCCACCCCGCCCGCCCCACGCCGCAGGAGGAGGAGGAGGAGGAGGAGGAGGAGGAGGAGGAGGAGGAGGAGGAGGAGGAGGAGGAGGAGGAGGAGGAGGGGCGGAGGAGGAGAGGAGGAGGAGGAGGAGGAGGAGGAGGAGGAGAGAGGAGGAGGAGGAGGAGGAGGAGGAGGAGGGGGAGGGGGAGGAGGAGGAGGAGGAGGAGGAGGAGGAGGAGGAGAAGGAGGAGGAGGAGGAGGAGGAGGAGGAGGAGGAGGAGGAGGAGGCCGCCCGGCCCGCTGGGCCCGAGGCGCTGTTCCGGCGTGCGAGGGCGAGCCTGGCGCCCGCCCGAGCGTCCTGGCTCCACACCGGCCGCGTCGCGCGGCTCCTGGCCGGCCCCCAGCTGCGGCGCGGGCCTCGGCCTGCCTGGACGTCTCGCTCCGAGGCAGGCGAGATCTCGACGCCGCCGCGGCAGGCTCGCGCGGCGATGGCGCGCCCGCGACGCCACGCGAGGGCGTTCAAGATGGCAGTCTGCGGCGCACGGACGCACCGAGGGACACGGTGACGCCACGGGGCCCGACGAGATTCAACCTCGAATGAGCGGGGCCGCGATCGATTCAAGGTTGAACGATCGACGCGGTGTCAAAAGCCTTTGTGCGCGCCGACGCCGCACGAACCTACCGAACCCGTCCGTCGTCACCACGGCTGGATTCGCCTCGAAATCTTGGTCAGAACACGCCCAGGGAGAGGCCTGGTGAGCAGCAGTATTGGTACCTGTGTCCCCCCACAGGAACGCATTGAAGCAATCAGGGCTGAGGTTTTCGGATCTGCGTAAGTTCCAGGAGGTTTTCCAGCCTCTGGCTGCTTTCCAACAGCTGCGCCTCGCCGAGAGCGTTCGGGGGGCTGCCAGGGTCTCGTCCCGAACGGCCGCGAGAGGCCAGAGCTCGCAGGCGACTTCTCGCTCCCAGCCCGCGACTCGTCCACGAAAAGTCAAACCGCGTAGAACCTCCTCCTCCTCCTCCTCCTCCTCCTCCTCCTCTTCCTCCCCCTCCTCCTCCTCCTCATCCTCCTCCTGGGAAACTCGAGGATACACTCGGACTCACCCCTATCGAGAACGCCCCCCTGTCATATGTCCCCGAGTTGTGCCCCAACTCTTCAGTCCATTCGAGAGCCCCCCGAAGCCTGTGATCGGGGCCGACATATACTTTGTGTTGAGAGCGGAGGCCCGAAAGCCACCAGTCCTCCCCAGACCCCAAGGGCACTGAGCAGGTAGAGGCGCAGGGTTTTTCGCTCGGCGTCTGGCGGCCCTCGCCAGACCCCAGGGCGAGAAGCTGACCTCGGGGGAGGGTCGGGACTTCGGGGGTCCCGTGTCGAAAAAAACTGGGAATCGGATCTCTGTGCCTCCAGTGCGGACAGTACTTCTGTCCATGTCCACTGCAGCTTGGAGTTCCGGGCTCCCTTCCCAAGGCGCCCGAGGCGCACTGGATATGGATAAAAGTCAGCCTCCTAGAGGCCAGGTTTCTATCCATATCCGGGGCGCTTCGGCCTTGTGGCGCCCTCTCTCAGAAAGACCAAGACGCACTGGATGTGGATATACATGATCCCGGGCTCCTGGCCCACGGCCCCCCCCCCAGATGGTATGGTCCCAGGATTCCTCGCCCCCCCCCCCCCCCCGATGGTATGGTCCCAGAGACGACGACGACGACGACGACGACGACGACGACGACGACGACGCGACGACGACGGCGACGACTACGACGACGGCGACGACGACGACGACGATGACGACGACGACG